GCCGCCCTGTCTTTCAGTGAAAGGCTAAAATTCTCTAAATTATTAAAAAGTGCAGTGCACCACTATACCGATTCTTTTGTTTTTTCTTTAAAAGTCACTACTGTTACTGCCTTGCATGTCCTGGATGATCTAAAAAGCAGAAAGCACGAAAACAAAGGGGACTCTTCAACAAACTGGGGCATATACTAAATTGTGGGCCTTTCTTTTGAAAAAATCATTCGGAAAGAGAAAAATGAATACGAAATAAAAGGAAGTGTAATTTCATAATTTAAAAACAGAGAAAATAATAAAATTACACATTTTCAAGATATTAATCTTCGGTTATCTTTGATATTTTAGTTTTGTGTGTGCTTGGGTTACTTTGTAATTAAAAGTATAATATAGTTTTTTTTTACTTGTTCTTTCGAGGCAATATGTATAGTTATTTTTTATATAATTTTATTTTATTTTATTTTATATAATTTTATTTTATTATATCTTTTTTATTTTGTTGCAGGTAGGGGTGTTCAAATAATCGAATTAATTCGGTTAATCGACCGAACCGAATTAATTCAGTTAATTCGGTTCGGTTACCGAATTAGTTCGGTCGATTAATGGTTAATAAAATTTTTAGAATTCGGTTAACGGTTAATTCGGTTTGAATTCGGTTAATTAACCGAATTAACTGAAATTAAATTTTAAATATTAAATATATTATATATAACATATGGGCTCAACCCAAATCATTTAAAACTCAATTAATAATTTAAGATCCAATAACTTTTAAACTTAAATCAATATTAATTAATTAAAAAATTATATAAATTTTTTATTTTATAATTATATATTATTTAAATTAATTGTAAACTGTTTTTTAATTAAAAAATATTAAATATATTATATATAACATATGGGCTAAGCCCAAACCATTTAAAACTCAATTAATAATTTAAAATCCAATAACTTTTAAACTTAAATCAATATTAATTAATTAAAAAATTTATCTAAAATTTTTATTTTATAATATATTATTTAAATTAATTATAAACTTTTTTGAATTAAAAAATATTTAATTTTTATATAAATTAGAATTTTTTTTAAAAAAAATCGGTTAATTCGAAATTAACTGAATTAACCGAAATTTATTCGGTTCGGTTAATATGTTCGAAAAAAAATTCGGTTCGATTAACGGTTAAAGAAAAAAAAAAGTTTAGTTCATTCAGTTATGGTTAATTCGGTTCGGTCGGCCACCGTTTTAACCGAATGAACACCCCTAGTTGCAGGAATCTTGTTCTCATTTGACACATAAAAATATTATTTTTTTCTTCTGAAAACAACTCAAATGATGTTGAATTTTCTACATCGACGTTGCGTTTTTTCTCTAATCAGGTAAAACAATCACATATTATAAATTTTTTTTATTTTATTTACTACTATATATATTTTGCAAGAGAATATCGTCATAAATGAAAATTAATTGAATTTAGGTGTTTCACTCTCATGAAGATTTAAAATATTGGGCGCAAAGCAAGGGGCGCTCTCTTGGTTACGTCATAATAACTCAAAGATCATACACGGATACAAGTGGTTTTTTGTATGAAGTCACGCTTATGTGTGATCTTGGTGGTGAATATAAACCGAAGGAAACAAGTAAAAATTCTGCTACCAAAAAAATTAATTGTCCATTCCAATTGGTAGGAAAGTATTCAAGTATATATAAGTATTGGTTGATAAGTGTAATATGTGAAGAACATAATCATCTTCCTACACAACAAATGGAGAGGCATCCATATGCGAGACGATTGTCTAAAGATGAATATCGATTGGTTAAAGATATGAAAAAGAAGAATGTGCCGCCACGTGACATTTGATTGATATTAAAGTCGCAAAATGAAAATAACGTGTCAACACTTACAGACATATATAATGTACAATATAAAATTCACAAGTAATTATATATGTATGTATGTATAATTAAAATTTCTTAAACTTTTCGTATTCCTGAAACTTTTGACATATCGAAGTAATTATGTAACGTTCAATTTTATATTTTGAATTAATTATCTAAAAACTAAATAAAATATTATATTTCTATAATATCCTTATGTAATGTCTAAATTTATATTAAAATTTCTCAATATGTGTAACATAAATATAAAATTATTCAATCATCGAAGTTTTTAAAAAAAATTTGACACAGTTGCTGACTTAAAAACATAAATATTAAACAACATAAAATATAAAATTATATATGTATGTATAATTAATTAAATAAAAAAGATAACAAAAATTAAAAAATAAATAATTATTACTTAATTATAAAAAAGAATCAAAAGACATAATGATTACATAATGATAATAAAACTTTAATAAAAAAACATAATGGTTACACTAAAATTAACGGATTTAATATATTGTTTGGTATATTTAAACTCACTCAAATGAATTCAAATACAAAGCGGAGCGTCCCTTTCCATGTAAAGATGAACTATTTTGTTCTTTCCAATAACCATCCAATGTTCCAAACACTTGGACCTTCTCATATCTTAGCACCCTATGGCATAACTCGTCTTAAACCATCAAACCTGAATATTATATGTTTTAGCTACTCAAATTATATTATGTAATGCTTATTATTTATAAAAACATATCTTTTACAGTATTTTTATCATAATATATTATATCTATATCTGATTTACCACTACGGAATAGAATAGATCAATTATTATTTTAATACTTTAATTTAAATAATCATGTAATTATAATTGATACTATTAAAATTAAGATGTAATTGTTATACTTTACTGATTAAATATGTTTTAAAAAATTTATAATTACATTGTTGTGTCAATTAAAATAATTATATGATTTTTTAGAGTATTCAAACGTACCATAAATCTCCTGATGTTATTTTGAATATAATCTTATAATGCAAACAAAAATACAGGCACTACGTATACGATGTAATACATAACTTTATGTAAAGAATTTTATAAAATTGACGACCAGCTAGCCACAACACATTTAAGTGCCCTTTGAATGCATCACCAGCTACCAGGTCCCCACACACATTTAGCCTTTAATGCGTTCGAATGGAGTAATCGAAATGTAGATTTCATTTCAAATAGAATTATGCCTCACGTTCGCTTGAGGTTTTAAGAATACTTAATTAAACACAAATCAAACTATTTCGATAGTTAAAAAAAAGACGGTTATTATCTTTTAAAGTTTCAGGTTAAAGTACTAGGAACTGTAAGGGTGTTTAAGTCTTTACAGTCAAGCGGTTAAAAATCTTTAGAACGCATTACCATATAATTACAAATTTTTTTTTAATTAAGTATACATTTTTTAATTTTTATGATTCTAATACATTAATACCTGATGCATGGATTATTATATAGGTAAATTAAAATATATTAAATATTTTATTATTTAAATTAAAAAGTTAACTAATATTTCTTAAAGAATCAAATTATTTTCAATCCAATATAATAAATTTGGGATATTTTAAAAAAAAAAACGAATCATGATAACTAAAGATAATAATATTCTTGACCATCGGAACAAACCATCATTTTCAAGTCAAAAATATTAAACCGGTTGCATCAAAACACTGCAGTTAGTGCCTTATAAGAAAATTATTTTTATAAATATTATAAATTTAGAAGTAGATGGTTACCCAGCTTTTTTCTAAAATAATAATAACAATTATTACCAACTACCTATTTCTTTAAAAATACATATAAAAGTACATTAAATTATTATAGTTTATTGCACTTTCTTGCTAAGCATATTCATTCAGTTGATTTTATTAGATTAATAAGTAGTATGTTTTTATATAAAATCTATACATGATTTTTTATTAATACACATTTTTTTAATTAATCATTGATTTATGGTCTATTGATCGAATAGGGTATTAGGTGACCATCCTAACCAAATTTGATCCATTCGTAAATATTAGAATTTGAACTTTTAACCTTGCTTAAGGAATCTAGTGTCTCGTCCCACCAGACCAACTGGTTGTTGGTTATTAATACATATATTATATATATTTGAAATGTTGAGAAAATTGAAGAAATTAGATAACTAATTCCAATTTATAATGTATCACTTCTTAATCTTTGAATGAAGATATCCGGAGTGAAGGCTAAAGCAGGTTCAATGGTGGGAGTTTTTCTTTTTTATGAGTATCTTTTATTTTATGAGATGAAACACATAAATGATCACTAAATTATATTAAAATAATTTTTTTATTTTTAAAATCTTTGTAATTATAAAATAATTATAAATTATCATGGAAATAGTGATTAAATTTTATCAAATTAATAAAAAATTATCAAAATTTATAACATTAATGTTCCTTAATTTTATTAAAATTTATTATTATTTTATAACATTTGATAATAATTTAATAAATTTAATAATCATTTTATAACTATTAAAATTCTAATAAATAAAGAATGTCATTTTCATATTATTTAATGATAGTTTATGGACTTCATTCGTTTTATTTATCTTACAATGTATAATGTAAAACAGAGAAAGAAAATGAAATTAGATATTTTCCACACCATTTAAATTTATTAAAAAAGGGGAAATATTTTAAAGGAAAAGATCGGGCCATTGTTTATGGCGTGGACCACCCCGAGTGAACCAAATGATTCTTCAGAGCTGAGGTCACAATAAATTGCAGACTCTAAACCGCACCTTACTCTGTCTCTCTCAAATTTCAAATATATATATATATTAGGATTACCACAAAAAAGAAAAAAAATGATAAAAAGGAAGAATCTAAGAAAATAATAGGACCGTCTTTCCACCCTTCAAATACGAACTTAGCCGTCTTTACATTGACCACGTACCCTTGTGCAGACCACGAGACGGAAGCGATGATCCCACTATATTAAGGTCAACCAACCAAAATCATCCACGTCGTCAATTTCATGTTATCCGAGATTGCGTCCGGGTTCAATGAACCTGGTAACCCCCCGGTCTTTAGTCAGCCTATTACTTAACCCTTTACCTCTCTCGCAAACGCTAAACACAGAAGAAAAGAAATCCAGAATCTCAGGGAAAGCCAAAGTTTTTCTCTGTTTCCTGTGAACAAAGGAATAATTTTCGGAAATGGCGTTTACTGTTACTTCTTCTTCTTCCGCTGCAATTTCCGGTTCCAGCTTTTCTCGTTCTAGTTCGTCCTCAGACATCAAAGGTACTTCGAATTCATTTTTAAGAAAGGTTTTTAGGGGGCTCAAATCTCAATTATGCTTATTGATGTTTTTGTTTGGGGTTTCCAGTTGCTCAAGTCGGATCACTCCGGCTAGCGGATCGCCATGCAACGGTGAATCTATCTCAAAAACGTCTCGCTGTGAAGCCCGTGAATGCAGAGCCAAAAAGGAATGATTCCCTGCTTCCTCAGGCTGCAAGCATCTCTGCTCCTGGTAAAATCACTTTTTTCCAAATTGTTAATTTAGTGTTGATTAGAGAGATTTGATCGGGATTAACTATTTATGGATGAACAGAAGTGTCGGAAAAAGTTGAGGTGGAGGATTTTGAGCAATTGGCCAAAGAACTCGACAACGCTTCTCCACTTGAAATCATGGATAAGGCTTTAGAGAAGTTTGGAAACGACATCGCCATCGCTTTCAGGTATACCCTTAGCTCTAAATTCAATACTTTCATTATCTTATATGGCCTAAGCAATTTCATCGAACACAGTAGTATCTAATCTGTAAATTAAATACGGCTTTAATGTTTTGGTGCTACTGTTACTTTTCAAATCACTCGATTCATTTTCTGTGATGGTAAATTTGAGTGTAAATCAGTAACGTAATATTTTAATTGATTAATCAATTCTTCTTCTTCTTATTGCAGTGGGGCGGAGGATGTTGCTTTGATTGAGTATGCAAAATTGACCGGTAGACCATTCAGGGTTTTTAGCCTTGATACTGGCAGGCTGAACCCTGAAACTTACCGATTCTTTGATGAGGTTGAGAAGCATTATGGGATCCGTATCGAGTATATGTTTCCGGATGCGGTTGAAGTTCAGGCCTTGGTTAGGAGCAAAGGGTTGTTCTCATTCTACGAGGATGGACACCAAGAATGCTGCCGTGTTAGGAAAGTGAGGCCTTTGAGGAGAGCTCTCAAGGGGTTGCGTGCCTGGATCACAGGTCAAAGGAAAGATCAGTCTCCGGGAACACGATCAGAGGTTCCTGTTGTTCAAGTTGATCCTGTTTTTGAAGGTTTGGATGGCGTAGTTGGTAGCTTGGTGAAGTGGAACCCTGTTGCCAATGTCGACGGTACTGACATTTGGAACTTCCTAAGGGCGATGAATGTGCCTGTCAATTCTTTGCATTCTCAAGGATTTGTGTCCATCGGTTGCGAGCCTTGCACTAGACCAGTATTACCAGGACAACATGAAAGGGAAGGAAGGTGGTGGTGGGAAGATGCCAAGGCCAAGGAGTGTGGTCTTCATAAAGGGAACTTGAAAGAAGACAGTTCTGCCCAACTTAATGGTAACGGAAATGGAAATGGCGCTGCTGCTCATGCTGACATTTTCGATAGCCAGAGCTTGGTCACATTGAGTAGGGCAGGAATTGAGAATTTGGCGAGATTGAAGAACCGGAAAGAGCCATGGATTGTTGTAGTCTATGCCCCTTGGTGCCCTTATTGCCAGGTATCCCCTGCTTCATACTAAGCGGAATTAGATTGAGAAATGTTGTTTTCATTGGCTTTTATTCTGACGGATCAATGTACAAATTTAAAACAGGCAATGGAAGAATCATATGTTGCATTGGCTGAGAAGCTGGCAGGTTCTGGGGTGAAGGTTGCAAAATTCAGAGGCGATGGTGAACATAAGGAGTACGCGCAGAAAGAGTTGCAGTTGGGAAGCTTTCCCACCATACTCTTCTTTCCCAAACACTCAGCTAAACCAATAAAGTATGCCTCAGAGAAGAGGGATGTGGATTCATTGATGGCCTTTGTTAATGCCCTCCGATGATGGGGTTCAAAAATAATTTGTCGAATTGACAATTAATCAAACGTTGAGGGGCGGTTCGTCCTGGTTTTCAATATCAGAAACCAACTCATGAACCCGGATTTTGTCATATGCTTCCGGCACCCATAGCATCAAAATAAGCTTGTCTGTTTTTGTATATTTAGCACAGTATTCCTTGTTTGGGCCTACTCTGTACATCAACATATGAAGTTGATGAGTTGTTTACAAAAGTCCGTGTGTTAAGCGAATTATTTATAATCAATAATTATTAATTAGAGAACTGTTTTCTATTGAAGTTGGAAGTAGAAAATCCTTGTAAATCGATAACGTAATTTTCATTAAATGTTTTTTTATATTAGTATTAGAATCCGATACTTTTCCTATATTAGTAGTATTTGAATTTATTTACTTTCAACATTTAGTAACAATTTAAACATATTTAAGTTTTATAATTTTAATAAATTTTACCCTTTTTTTCAGTTATTGTATTCTGTTGTATTTTCAATATTATGTTATATATATTTTTATCATTTTTAATAACATTTATTTTTTATTTTTGGATGATAGTATAACGCAACCTCAAAGTATCATATCATTCAATTTTAATATCGTTACAAAAAAATATATTAATATGAGAAAAATAACAAATTCATATACCAAAGTGGACCAATGTAATTTGGGTTCTAATATGAAAAAAATTAGGTAATAATGTGAAAATATAGATAAATTCAGATTTAAAATATTTAGATAATAATAAGAAAAAAGTGAAGAAACTCAGAGGCTAAAATGTGTCTTCTCCTAAATATAAAATTATTTTTAAATACAAATAGATTTAAATAAAATGTAAAACATATATTTTAAATTGAAATACATTTAAATAAATATAATAATAAAATATAATAATATCATATATAAATAAAACTGAAGCCATTCAGTATTTGAGAAATCACCCTCTATAAAGATTATGTTTATGTAAGTAGAGATGGTAAACGGGTACAATTTCATGTATTTTACATCGTATTTATTTTAATTGGGGGCGTAGATGGATATAACTTTAGTAGATAGTGAGCGGGTGTAGATTTAGAAAGTGATATCCGTCACGGGTAGTGGGCGGGTGATGAGTTTAAGACCTTACCAACCCCGCATCCGCCCGCCCACTAAATACCCATTAAATTTTGGATCATTATAAATTTAGGTATAATTTATATGTTTGTTATTTATGTTTATAGGTTTTAATTATATCTTTTATTATGGTGTTTTATGTATTTTAAAATTTATGTTAACACTTAACTCATATAATTCTTAGTTTATTTTATATATTTCTTAATGGACGTGTTTGTTTTACGTTTGTTTCTTATGTATAATTTAAGGTTGTTGTAAGGTGGATCTAGTCGAATACATCTCAAGTTGGATTGTAGGTGTGTGAATGAATTTAATAATGTATTCGTGTGGATTTAAAAAAAATTATTTATCATGAATGATGGATTAGTGATGAATTTAAAAATATTAACTGAGTACGATGTAAGGTTAAAAGGCATTCCTGATTTTTGAAAATTGTTTCCGACATCGATGTACTTACTGCTATTTCAACCTAAACAATCATTATGCTTTCCTGCTTCGGTAATCATTATTATTTAGTCAACACTCAAACGGCATTTTACATTTGATTCTAATCCATCTTTCAATCTTGTGTAAAGGGTAATGAATTGCTGGAAATAGGCCATCCGATATCTAAGCCCACACCATCATGAAAAATCAAGACATTCATGATTCGTTAATATGTAAAGCGTCAAAGCCTAACCAAACGCAAACAAGGAAAAGGAAAGAATAAATAATACAATATTTGTTAGCCGGACATGTGAATTTGCCAAGACATGCAGGTGTTCTGTTTATTATGCTCGTGACTAAGTTGCTTGTTATGGTGTACCTGTGCTTTTTTAGTTAGTGTCCTCCGTGTTCAATTCCTCACCGTATAATTGTCTTTGCTCTTCCTTCATGTACTTTTTTGGAATTTTCTTCCCACCTATTTATACAAATATATTCCATTATTCAAAAAATATATAAATAAACAATAAAAATCATTTCATTCATTATTATTTTTATTCTTTAAGTTTTAAAGATTATTATTTATTTAACGTTTGGATTTATACTTAAAATTTTACATGTTTATCTAAAAATTAAATATACGGATGTGAAAAATTTGATTTCATAAAAAAACTATTTTGCTTAAATTCATAGTATAAGGATCGGTAATCAAGGGTAAATACATAGACCAGGGTGTTACTCCAATAGTTAAATGATACAATTGTAATTTTTTTAGGTTAATTCAAAATCTAATAGTTTAATTTTTCAATTTTAATTAATTTTTCAAAATTTTAATTAAATTCCTAACATAAATTTTGAAGGACGTGAGACAAGATTTATAGATTTGGACAACTCAGACGGAGTGATTTAACATAGTTATTTTTTGGGGGGTCGATTACGAGTCTGAATCCCGCAGTTGATTTTAGGCATGGACATTGTCGACAAGTGAGTTCAGTTATGGAAGTGAGAAGCGAACTGTTGCCCTTAAAATGCTAAACCCCTATGGCAGCGTTTCTCTGGAATCGCCAGCCTGTATTATTCAATAAAGCATCTCAAAGCTCACCGGACCTCATTTACATTGCTGCCCCTCACTTCTTACCCAACACAGCTTCTAATTACCACATTATTGGCTTTGCACTTTTCCTAAAGTAAAGCTCACCAAACAAAAACAATCCAATTGGAACTAGAAAGTGTTGTTGATGATCGTGTGGGCATAACTCTCAGAACACGTTAGAAAGAAAGAAAAAAAACAAGCAAAAAAAAACATTTTTTTCACTTGTCGGCTCTAAGGGGTATTGTGGTAATTGTAAGGCTAGAGATTGAATTGTGGACAGTACCAGAAAAAAGGAAACCATCCTTGGGGAAGTAAAGAAAACCAGTTATGCCCATGAAAGACTTTGAATTTGCTAATCTTTTGATAAATGTCGGTACTTTTCTCCCTTCTTACTGTATTGTCGACCTCTTAAGTCAATCCCAAGCATAACCGATATAAATCCCAAAGGGTTACTGAATCCAGTCTCTTCCATTAGAAAGAACGGAGAGCTTGGGAAGATAATGTTAGGATTTCTAGCAGAGACTGAAGCGGAGGATGCAGAAATAAAGCTGAAGCTCCTCTTCAATGGCGAACTCTGAGTTTACAACTTATTTTATCATCATCATTTTGTTCTGCTTTACAGTTTCTTCAACAGGTAATGTCTCAAAAACTTCAGCAGAAAACAGCTTACTAGAAATCACAAAACCAATAGAGCCTCAGTTTTTATAAATATATATTTTAAAAAATTTACAAATTTTTGCAGCGAAGTCATCAGCTTTACTCCGAGAAATCAAGCTGCAAACACAAGAGCAAGATAAAGAACCGTTTGTGGGTGTTAACATAGGCACGGATGTCTCAGATCTGCTTTCACCAGCGGACTTGGTTTCATTCTTGCAAGTGCAGAAAATTTATCACATTCGATTGTATGATGCGAACCCCGATTTACTCAAAGCATTGGCGAAAACAAAGATCCGGGTCATTATCAGTGTACCGAATAACCAGCTTTTGGCAATAGGGTCATCCAACACCACAGCGGCTTCTTGGGTCGGTCGAAACGTCGTCGCTTACTACCCGGAAACGCTCATCACCGGTATTGCAGTTGGAGATGAGGTCTTAACGACCGTACCATCCTCGGCTCCTTTGCTGCTTCCCGCAATTCAATCTCTTTACAGTGCTTTGGTGGCTGCAAATTTGCATACTCAAATCAAGATTTCAACCCCACATGCAGCTTCCATTGTTCTTGATACCTTCCCTCCTTCTCAGGCTTACTTTAACCAAAGCTTAACTTCGGTTATGGTACCTTTGCTTCAGTTTTTGTCAAGAACTGGGTCTCCTTTAATGATGAATCTTTATCCTTATTATGTGTTTATGGAGAATAAAGGTGTGGTTCCCTTGGATAATTCCTTGTTTAAGCCATTGACACCGTCTAAAGAAATGGTTGATCCTAATACTTTGTTGCATTACACTAATGTGCTGGATGCCATGATTGACGCTGCATATGTTTCTATGAAGAATTTAAATGTTACCGATGTTGTGGTGTTAGTTACCGAGAGTGGGTGGCCTTCAAAGGGGGATTCGAAAGAGCCTTATGCTACTAAAGATAATGCAGATACCTATAATTCGAATCTTATTAAGCATGTCTTAGACCGTAGTGGAACCCCTTTGCGTCCCGAACTAACTTCCAGTGTGTATATACGAGTTGTTCAATGAGGACTTGAGGTCACCCCCAATATCTGAGGCGAATTGGGGATTGTTTTATTCGAATTCAACCCCAGTGTATTTGCTTCATGTATCAGGAAGTGGGACCTTTTTGGCAAACGATACAACTAACCAGACCTTCTGTATCGCAATGGACGGAGTTGATTCGAAGACATTGCAGACGGCTTTGGATTGGGCTTGTGGCCCTGGGAGGGCAAATTGCAGTGAGATTCAACCAGGGGAGAGCTGCTACCAGCCGAATAATGTGAAGAACCATGCTTCTTATGCATTTGATAGCTACTATCAGAAGGAAGGGAGAGCTTCTGGATCGTGTGACTTCAAGGGTGCGGCCATGATAACTACCACTGACCCAAGTAAGTATTACCACATCCATTCCTTAAATCAACATTTGTTTTTAGCTTTACATTGTCCCTCAATAGAGTTGAATTTGTGCTCATAGCCATTGAAAGCGGTTAGTAATCCAAGTGCTTAGCTTATCTTCGGAATCAAACTATTTTCGATGAAGAATTGTAAATGAGGACATTTAACATTCAGCGTTAGTTTTGTTTGTGTTTTCCCTTGATCAAGTTCCTTAGCTACAAGGATCATATATTTTAGTCCCCAACTATTGTGCATTTACCATAGTCCCAAGGCCTAATTCAGCTAACCTGTTGCTTAAGCATTAAGTAGTTAGGTTTTAAAATATTAAGCCCAGTTATCAGAAAGTAAAGTTGTGGGAATATTGCACCTCCAAGTTACAATCCTAAGAAAGAACATGTGTGCATTTTCTACCTGGCAGAGTCACATGGGTTCTTTTCGTGATTTGAAGGTTGGAAAGGGCGTGGAATAACTTTTTCTTGTTCAAGTGAGGAACTATTAGTTCAGTTTGGACACTGGTTCCTAGTGAACCCCACTGCA